GTACAAGCAAATATTGTTTTCTTATATAGAGAAATTATGTTGTTTTTACGATATAGATTCAAGTTTTTTACGTGCTTTCCAAAAATGCAGCAATAATTTTGTGACTCTGATGTATGAATTGGAACAAAAGAGTTCGCTCAGAACGCAGCAAATCGCATTTCCAAGGTCCTAGATTTCAAAATTTCCCGGGGGAGGATACCCCCTGACCCCCCTACAAATGCGAGGTCTTAGGCATCAGTCACCTCAGAAACTGGATCCGCCCCTGAATAAAAGCCAATTAAAAATCACGAATATTTCCGCGACATTGTTTCTTACGTTTGGCCAAGGCTTTAAGTTTAGCGAAATATTTCATTTGTTCCTTGATCGTGTGAATTGTATGTATATATATTTTTTATTTCTTCGTCCTAGCTGTTTTATACAGGTGGGTTTTTTACCTCACACAAATTTGTATTGAATTAGGATGTTAATATAAAGTAGAATTAAACGTTAAAATGGTATTTTGAAACAATAGCCAATGAATTGAAGTGATTTAGCATATGAGCAAGCAAAATATACAATGTGTTTTTAACAATATTTAATGTGGGTGTATTTATATACAAGGTTTATCAGTATTCCGTGATTTTATTTTGTTGTTTTTGCGGAGGAAATCGGGGAAACCCCCCAGTGAGAATCTATTTTTATAGTCTGCGAGTGCGCAGTGCGAGTTTGGCTTAGTTGCGCATGCGTATTTGCTACCAAAATAATGGCGGTTCGAGCATTTCGAAGCGCGAAAATATCAAACTTTGGAGGGATTTTTCTCCCAATTGTGTATCTGTTTCGCTTGGGGAGCAACGGATTCTGATAAAGTAAGTTTTTATCTATTTATTCATGTGAAAATTACGTAGTTACACGAGGGGTGCAACGGAATTGCATCTTTTGGATGCTCATCCTACGGCCTAATATAATTGTCGATTTGCAAGTGCTCTTACAAAGTATGCTGCTGGCGTAGAAGAGGGAGGGCTCATAAACAAAAATGCGCGGACTTCTATGAACGAGCAACTACCCCTCAAGGAGCCAATGTACTCTTCAGGAAGGGTCGCGCGACTCCCTCGAGGAGTCATTTTAGCCCATCGTGGGGTCAAAACGCCCCTCTTATATAAAACGACCCTTCCGAGGAGTCAAAACTACCCTTCAACACAAGAGACCGAAATGACCCCAAGGGGTCAAAACTTACTATGCTACTACGCTTACTATGCTACTACGCTTACTATGCTACTACGCTTACTATGCTACTACGCTTACTATGCTACTACGCTTACTATGCTACTACGCTCACTATGCTACTACGCTTACTATGCTACTACGCTTACTACGCTACTACGCTTACTATGCTACTACGCTTACTATGCTACTACGCTTACTAGGCTACTACGCTTACTATGCTACTACGCCGCTTACTATGCTACTACGCTTACTATGCTACTACGCTTACTATGCTACTACGCTTACTATGCTACTACGCTTACTATGCTACTGGCTACGCTTACTATGCTACTACGCTTACTATGCTACTACGCTTACTATGCTACTACGCTTACTATGCTACTACGCTTACTATGCTAATACGCTTACTATGCTACTACGCTCACTATGCTTACTATGCTACTACGCTTACTACAGTATGCTACTACGCTTACTATTCTTATTATGCTACTATGCTTACGACGCTACTACCTTAATTAATTTTAATAACCTTACCACCTGAATACACTTACTAACGCTACTAAATTACTACGACCCGACAACCTTACGCTGGCTACTATACCTTACTACATTTCTACTTTACTACGCCACTGTCCTAGATTTATAGTCAAGAAACACTAGAACTTTTAAGTATGAATAATATTGCGTTTCGTTCTTATAACATGCATGGAGGTAGTTCAAAATTATATAAATGTGTCTCTGTTGAAATGTTATGTATTATGATACATTGCTACCACGCCATAATTACTGCTTAATTAAAAATTACTGGCTAAAATGAAAAATTGCAAGAATTACCCGCATGCGTCACTTGCCAGTCAGGATAAACAAACAAACAAGATAATTAGATAAACCTGGGGCGCCAACACAAGTGGGATTTATAAGAACTTAATTTAATATAGTTGATGAAATGATAAATGTGGAATGTTTATAATTGAAAGAACACACTGACAATAAACACACACAGACAGCTATGTCGACCGAAATAGACCGCAACAGATGACAACTCAAGAGGGGTATGACAGACATGATACCTGCCAAGAAGAAATCATGAACACTATATGTCTGTTGAGTACAAAATTTAGCAAGCATTCACTTTACCGAGTACGAAGAACATGTGTCAAGGCAGGCGTGCAGGCGTTGGGGATAATAGAAACAAAAAATACTAATAATTAATGAAGTCCCGTTCTACTACGCGTACTGCGCGTAGTAAGATTTTTTTTACGAAATGCCGCCCATATTTCTCGCCGGGTATAAAACCCGTACCTTCGTACCCATGCGTCGACAATTATAGCTTCAAATTCTGCTCTAGAAAGATGTGAAATGTCACATTCACTATTGGTGATAAAAATCAAACGTTCTTTACCTTCGAAGTACCCGAATTAGCAGTTGACTCAGCCCTTACCCGCATGCGAAAGTAACCGGATGTTATATTACTATGCTATAAATTAACAGTATGTGTGACATATCTAGCGTAAAACATTTGCGATACCTATCTTTATTGACGGACTATAACCTCTCAAATAACCTACTAGTGCTCTGCCAAAATTTGTAGAAACAAACAACGTATAAAACATTTGTGATTAAGAATGCAATATGACATAACAAAATATATTCATATTCTGTTAATTATTAACTTTGAGAATTTTAATGAAACTTAATTGTTCTATAATGTCATTAGATGTTCTGTGAACGAAATGGAGCTCAAATACTTCGTTCGCAGAGCATTCTATTCCCTGTACTTTTGAGATGTACAATGATGTTATGGCATATGGGGCCCAGACAATCACTTTCAGAAGTTGTTGGGACACATGTAGTTTTAGCTTGTAAGTCGATCATTATAGTTTTTTACACACAATAGTGTGTTTTCACGCGAACCGCTGTGACGTCACCAGAAGTTAGCGTCCGCCATGTTGGTGGAGTAAAACGCGTCACGTGCGAGGAATTTACTAGTGTTTACTACAGCTGTGCCAAATGTGTTCGAAATATTCCTCAATATGCCGGCTTTTTGTGTAGTTTTAAACAGTTCAAATGACAAATCTAAAACGTAAAGATCTTTCTTTCTGCCGGGTGCCGAAATTTATTAAAAATCAAGGCGAGGAAATGGAGATTTTGTGAACCAAACGCAGTCGAAGAATCGACGAAGATGGCTGTCGGCCATATTAAATTGGAGTCGCCGGAGAATACAGAAGAAATGGTCAAAGAGAAGTTACAGAGAGTAAACGAACCTGGCGAGGTTGTTAAATGTTTATTTGATCCTATGACTATGGACGATATAGCAGACAATTTTCCAGAAAACTTGAGAAACGCCGGCCATAAGCCCATAACACAAACAGACGTTTCAACCACAACAGTTGGCATTCAGACAAGCGAGTGTCATAATTCTATGCTTCAATCCGAGTTTTAATTTCTGGGTAAACCATGTTCTATAATCTCCTTGCAAGGGCACAGACGTTTTCAAGTTACAAGCATCATAACACTGTTAAAGTGTTAATTGGAATTACAACACAACTCACAAGGTACAATTTGCTTTGTCAGTGAAGCTTGGGGAGGGAGGAATTCAGATAAGTTTCTGACTGAGAACTGTGGCTTACTGGACAACCTTATACCAGGTGATTTGGTTCTGGCGGATAGGGGTTTCACTGTCCATGAAAGTGTTCAGTTTCGCCGAGCCAAATTGAACATTCCGGCATTCACAATCACAAAAGGAAAAGACCAACTTGATTCTGTTGATGTGGAACAGACAAGAAAGATTGCTACTGTCCGGATACATGTCGAAAGAATTATTGGTTTACTGAGACCGAAATATACCATTCTTCAACAAACTTTGCCAATTGAATGAACTGATTACCTTATTTGCAGAAAAGGAGAATCTGTTCCTCTCATTGACAGAATGATTAAAGTTTGCTCTGCACTAGTAAACTTTTGCCTTCATACTATATACCTTTTGATTGAAGTAAAGTATTTTACAACATTATGTTTTTACCAAGAAACAGAAACGCATTCTTTCAACATTTGAAAATTTGGTGGTCAAGTCTGAGAACCTCCTCATGGTGACCACTGGGCAACAGCACGTTGTGTAAATCAGGGGTGGATTAGTAAGCTACTTTAATTGTACTTTGTCAAAAAGAGACCCCTTTGCAGCTGCAAAGTAAAAAACTACCCCTGTTTGTTTCACGACATGCTGGCTAATCTCAGCAATAATATTTCATGCAATTCTCATGGGGGCTTGTGATATGGGGAATAAATACATCACTATTTCAACTAGGCCTGTTTGAATACCATGAGCATTGAAACAATGTAAAAACCATGTCTGTTGGGAATGTATTATTGGTGGGGGTTAAATAATTGATTGAGCAACCCAAAGACTTGGGGTAGGCCAGGGCAATAAACTACTTTGGGTCCCACAGATATGATTTGACAAAATCTTTACTCAAATTTGACACCACGCCTTTAGAAGGTGGGAAATCAAAGTATGGACATTTGCCTACCCTACCCCCATTAAGCCATATTTTGTGTAAAGTGCTGAGATTAGCCAACAGGTTGTGCAAAAGTTTGCAATCGCACAGGGGTAGATTAACACTTTAACAGACCAACATATGACATTGTACGAATAGTATGCAAAATAAAATGTTGTCCAGTTAAACAATATAGGGGTCCTGGTGTGCTAATCCGCCCCATGTTTACACAACACGCTGTTGCCCAGTGGTCACCATGTGGAGGTTCTCAGTCTTGACCACCAAAAATGTTTAATGTTTATCAAAGTCTTAAGTCTGTAATAATTTTCAAATGCAAAAAGTTTGTATCTTTGATAGAGTTTTATATATTATAATTTTAACAGTTAGTTCAATAAAAATGCAACTGAATATTGGTGTAAGCTTTTTTATTTTGTGCTCTCAGCCGTCGGAAAAAGAGTAATATGACCAGCTTTCAGGCAAGCATACAAGTAAATTCGCATCTGTATTAATACATGTACATTATTAAATCGTGGGATATTTGGATCCACCGATGACCGATCCATTGTGTATTAAAACAAGACTTGTCGCAAAAGCGATTGCAAATACACCACAATCTGAATCATTTGATATATGATTAATCATTTGAAATACACCACAATCTGTATTCGAGAGATTTTGCATGTTCAGACAAAGGAATCTCATGAATAATTGCTTTTTCTGCCTCGCTGTTTACGTTTAGTTTCGAATCGCTGGCCGCCATGTTGGAACTTCACTCCACCAACATGGCGGCGTATAAAATTAATTTATGCCGTGACGTCATGTGAAAACACACTAT